ATACCTGCATAGTAAATTATGAAGTAATGGGGTTGATTTCCATAAGCCATTAGGAAACTTAGTATCTTCAACCAGGTTCCTGAATGGTGGTGTTCAAACATTATGGAGGACCTTATAGACTCTGAGAGTCAGTTTTCTCGTTTAACAGATTAGAAAACTAAGATTCCAGCAGTTTATATTTACAGCAACAGTAAAACACTGAGCTTGTCAAGTTCCCATCATGCATTTTAGAAGAAACTTTTGAGATGACAGATGTATGAGAAATGAAAGGATTCTTATAACATTCCTACTCAAAAATAATAAAAAGGAAGAGACTTAAGACGTACTCTTGAAGAAATTATTTTTTATTTATTTATTTTTTTTTTGCCATAGGAAGCATGCACTCACCTAAGATAGTGAGAGGGAAAGTGTGAAATCACCTCCCAGAGAGGATGCCGTGCCCTGTCCCTTCTCCCTCATGCTCCTCCTGGGAATGTGGGCATGCATGCACACGTGCCTGGCGTGATTTTCAAGCCACCAGGTCCAGGACTTGAACCAGGTCAACCATGAGGAAGTCCAGCATCTTAACCCTTAATACAAGCTGCTGTCCCCTACTTAGATATTTTAAATATATAGTTCTCATACTACAGTGTTTATGAGTAATTTGAAAATATCACAGTGAATACTGGGGAAACAGTGGGAAAATTCACTGATTCTTAAACTTACTACATGTTGTATTTTATGAATAAAATTATTTTCATTCCCAGAAAAGGCTCATATGTTTTGAAGCACAGATATGTGTGTGGAAAAAGGACACAGCCTTTTTTATTTTTTCCAAAGAAGTACTTATTTTACTTAATTAGTTCATTTTAATTTGACCAGAGAGAGACAAGGAGAAAGACAGAGAGGGAAAGTGAGAAAACAAGCCACCAGGTCTGGGACTCAAACCGCAGTCAGCCACGTGAGAGTCCAGTGCCTCAACTACCATGTCACCTGCTGGCCCCAGGACACACAGTCTTTTAACGTTTCTAATACCTGTTGCTTTCAAACATATCCATAACTAATTTCTGAAGGGCTAGTCCATCAGAAAAACTTATTAGTGTTTCAGGTTTCTGTTAAGGCAACATTATTCTGCCATATGGTTTGCAGAAAATGGACTTGAGAAGTGAGAATCATGGTGCTGAAAAAGATTTAAGTAAATGATGGGGCCTTATTTAAGTGTAAAATAATACAGTAGCAGATAGAGAAGATTGAGCTAGTGAGTAAACATGGACATGTTTAATGTTGTGTGGGTAAAGTCTTTATTTCGCTTTATCAAAACTAGCCCTTTTTTTCTGCTATATTGTGCAATCACTTTAATTTATTGCTTAGTACATATTAATTTTGGGCCTGATATTTTAACTACAAACTAAAACAGGGGAAACGATTTTAATGGTATGAAAATTGAAAACAGAGTTAGATCAAGGGCATACAGTGGGGCTTACCATTATTTTCTCGGACTATTGGGCAAGTTTGGCTTTTTTTTCTTTTTCTTCTTTGACTGCCACATTACATTTTGCCTCGGAGCCATCCATTTTGCAGATATTGAATTCCTTTTGAGTACTATTTTTATACAATAAGCATCACTACACCTCTGGATCTTGATAGCATTACTGCGGGAGGAGAAAGCAGCTTTGTGTTAGTAATTACCTAACATTGTCAGAAGCTGACTGCAGGCCTCTTTCTAGTGATAACAGAATAACCGCATAATGTAGCTTTATAGCACATGATTAATAGAAAATAATTACACGTCCTACAAAGGGATGCAATATTTCTTATAAATTGACTAGAATGGTTTCCTGTAGATTAAAGGACTCTTCATTATTTTATCAGTCCTCCCGAAGTACAGTCACTTGCCTATGTTAGCATTTCAGTTGACGTTAAGAGCCGGATAGGCTGAAGGATACCAGATGGCAGCCCTTCTTGTACCTGAGGTCTCATTGCCATAAAGATGACACGCTGCTTCCTAACGTTTCAGAGATTTAGATGGCAGCCTGGTAGGGTTTGCCTTTTTGTATTTTGTTTATTAACAAGATAAGGATTGAGGGGTTTTGTTTGTTTGTTTATTTTCTTAATGATCCACCTGTGACTTTATAGAACAATGCGATAATTAGTCTGTGGACCACAAGACGACACTGCATTGATTGCATTATTTTCCACTGTAAGTAATATATCATTCATAATCACATTTGTTTGAGGGCAGAGGAAAGGCAAAGACAGGCCGATTTTCTTGTTCAGAGGGAAACCTTGTAAGATGGTGAATCTTCAGGCCGGAGTTTCGAATACTGTACTTGAAGAAGCATTTTCATTCCAGTTTACAGGTGGCAAATGGTTTAATTGGGATTCATGGTGCTTAGGCGGCTCGTACAGAGGGTGGTAGTGAGAAAGCGAAAGCTGTGTTTACATAGTCTAGTGGCTGCAGTGTAAATCCTTACCTTTGCCTTCTAGATTTCCCCCCTCACTATATTTTATCTTATCTCTTAATGCTACCCAGGAGTACTACATGGAATTCCTTATGAATATAATGTGATAAATATTCTGGTTTTTATTTTTACTCCTCTCTGATTAAAATCAGTGATGTTTTAGAGTGCTTGCATGAGGTATGTCTTTCATGTGTTTCTCAGTTTTTCAAAATTAATTGAAGCGTTTAAGAGCATCAGTCTAAAACGTATTTCCTTTTCCATGCAGTGTGACTTTTAAGGGATTTGTTTTCAACTGGAAAAGCTCATCCCTGCTGTTTACTACTGAGCTTTCCAGTTCGGACTCTCTGGTCCACCATAGGACAGAAGCCTCTCACGTGTGAAGCCTGCCATTCTTTTGTTGTTTTGATTTGGTGTGAATCAAGTTTTTACACTTGAGAGCGAGTGAGCTTTTTGAGAATGACAGTATGCCCTTGGCTGTAACCACATAGATTTTAACCAAAGTGGAATATTATAAAGTAATACGAACATTCTAGATTGTAATTTGAATCTAAATGTTGACACCCAGAATGAGGGTCAGTCTCTGGAAGCAGGTTTGGGTCAGTCACCTGCTCTCTCACTGAGTGTTTCCTATATCTAGTACTGTGGGCGGCTGAGTGGGAAGGAGCTCAGTTCCTTTATTCTTTCCAACTGTTCAGTTATAAAATATCTTAAATTGCCATTAGGCAAGAGCTTTCATTCAGACTTACTCTATTAACTCTCCGGTTCAAGACCTTCCAGTGTAGGCCTTTGGCTCATGCAAGGTTCAGTACACTTGTTTTGTTAGGCAGCAAGCTCTAATTGTACTCATTGCCTTAAAAATTGAAAAGGGCAGTTTTATTGGGTAGCGATTAGGGTGCAATGGTTGCTAATCATAGCTTTCACTAAGTTGGTATTTTCTTCTGATAAATATGTCCTACGTAGATTATAGTCGCCATCATTGAACATTCTCCTTACTGAGACAGTTTTGTCCACTAAGTGCACACTGTTAGCGAACTTTGAAACCTAAAATCGTGACCACTGCCTCCTAGGCCAGAGCGGCGCCCTTAATAGAATAAGAAGTGTGTGATTAGTCTTTTCTCCTCATTTCCCTCTACTTTTTCCTTCCAGTGAACTTAATTCTGAGACACTGCCCACTGTTTTAAAAAGCACCTTTAGGTTTTATCCTATGATCTCTCTACTGATGGAGGACATATCAATAATACATGCTCATGCAGTCACATTCGTATTGAAGAACTGCATCATTTTCCTTTTCAGTGGTCAATAGCATACTAATCAATACAGATGTTAATACTCATATTAACATTCCCTCCCCATATGTAACTTAATATGCATATGAACACTTATCTGTGACGCAGATGTTGGAAAATCATAACCTATCAAATTACTTTAGGGATTGATTTAAAATGTTTATTTTATATGAAAAATTAAATTTGAGTCCTACAGTGGTCATGCAGAGTATTGCTTTGGGAAATGTTATTCTTGAAACTTGTAATTCATTTTACTTTGTTCGTATCTCACTAAACATAAATACATTTGAGATAAAAACACATTAGTCATTCAGGCAGACATATGGGACCAGTTCCAGAGGGTTCACAATGCCTAAAATGGTGGTGTGTCTGTCAGTGCAGAAAAAGGGGGGGGAGGAAAGGGGCACAGGTTTGTTTATCTCACATTGCAAAGTAAATGCAGAAGTGACTCATCAATCACTCTTCTTTTTTTTTTTTTTTTTACAGCTAGATTAATATTTTGCCTTTATAACTTGAGATACTTTTATTTCTTATTGATCTTCCACTATGAGGGTGAATCTAACACCACCTTTAAATTCTTTCCACCTATCCTTTATCTATGGTAGTTTATGATCAATAAAAGGGACAATAAATGCCTTAGGGAAGCTATTTTAAAGGAACTTGTTTGTGAATTATTTGTAAAGCAAAAAAATGTTTTTGTAGTATTAGTGTTTCCTCATTGTCTGTCCGTTTATAATGTGTTTTTTAGGTTTCTTAAGAAGCGGCACACCTCTACACTCTATCACTAAATTATTCTAGATCTTATGAATTTAGGAGTTAAGTAGTTCATTATGAAAAAAAAATTATCTTTGCTAGATGATAAGCTTCTTGAAGGTAGATGCAGTATCTTAAGAATCCTGGACTTAACCTAGTAACATCTGGTTCTGGTAGTTATATATGAAAGGTGTCCCCAGGCTGCAAGCAGAGAGAAAGAGAGACCCCCAAGAACCAGCTTTCTCAGATAGTTTCATTTTCCAGGTTTTTCTCATGAGTGACTGTTTCTGTGTTTTCTGCCTAGTCATAAACAGGCTTTGTGTTGTTGTACATTAATTTAAATCTTTGCCTAACCGTATTCTTCAAGTGCCCAGAAACAAAAAAAGATAAAAATGTTTCCACAAACAGCTCAAGCTCTTGTAACTTTATAAAAAGAAATCGCATTCCTGAGAAGTTGCATACAAACGACATTGTACTTACACCAGACTAAAGGTTAATATTGCATATTGTTTTCAATTAGGAATACAATAGATATGGCTGGTGGGTAGGCGAAATGAAGGGAGCCATTGGCTTGGTGCCTAAAGCCTACATAATGGAGATGTATGATATTTGAGAGTCCTGGGTAAGTACATTTTAATCCAATATTCTGTAATAGCTCATATGTTCTCTTGGTCTCTTCCTTATGAGTCTTTGCCTTTTTAAAAATCTTTGTAGTTTTCTGATAACATGAAGATTATGTCCCCAAATCTTTTTTTGTTTTGTTTTGTTTGATCTGGTTTAATTAAAAAAAAAAAACTTCATGGAATTAACTTTAGAAATGAGTAGATTATTTAGAAAAATTTCCTTTGATGGTAACCAGCTGTTTCCCCAAATCTCCTTCTCTTTAGTAAAATACCACTTTTATGGCCTTTCTGAGGAGCTGAATTGATAACATGTTAAACATTCATTTTCCTTGGCTAAAACTGTAAATTTTTTTTTCCTTAAGTAGGAAAAAAAAAGTCAACATTTCAACTGAAGAAAAAATTAAAATACAACTTTTCTGCCTGCAGAAGAGGAAGATTCTTCTGCTTGTCTGCAAAAGCTCTGCATTTATTACAGAAGCATCGTGAAAGCACAAGTGACAGCTCATAACCTTTCTTTGTTTTGTTGAATATCGCTTGTCTTTGTTATTTTGTGCAGGCATTCATTAAAATATTCCTCTGATGTAAATTAAATGAAGGATATTGATGTAAATTAGATGTAAGCAGTAAAGTTATACCTGTTGCTATTTTGCAAAAAAAAAAAATTATAGTTTTTATTTACCCACTTGATTTGCATGAAGCATTTACCTCTTTTCTATGCGTATCATATAGTCACAGCTACTTCGGTGTAAATTGTAATTTCTCTTAGTCATTGGTCATTAATTGTTTTTTAGAAAGTAATATATACTTTTATGGAATTTTTTAACAGAATATATCATGCACGTTTCTGGTAGGTACTAAAGAATGTGGTTTTGTTAAAGCTTTGGAGATGATTTGTCATGACATTGATTCTTTTACACAGCAGTAACAAGTTTTCATGAAAGAGTTTTATAGATTGGAAGAATTTACTTCCCGTTAAGTGTAGCTACCAGAAAAGGGGAAAAATGACAGACTCGTAAACAGCAGTGGTGTGACCTGCCAGACATGTGTGAACTAGCGCTGTGGTTCGTGCAAAGCACCTTCCGGAAACAGATGACCTGGTTTTGATGATGGACGTGGCAGCATTTTCTGCCATCGTTTTGTTTAAATTTATGGAATTAAAAAAATTCTTAAGAAACTCTATTTTATTTCTAATATAATGGTGTGAAGAATCTCAAGGTACTACTCTCAAGGTAAGGAGACATAACCAGGCGTTGTCTTATCCTGCTGTAGTATCACGATGCTGTGGCATCTGCAGAGTCACTAGGTTCCCTCTGAACTTCCCAAAGCACTGCTAAGGAGGGAGAGGAGAGTCGAATTCATGACAGTAACATGTATCAACAGGTGTGCGGAAGGGTAGCGTCAGCCTGAACTGGATTCGTGGAATCTTATCATTACCTTTTCACGTGTATTTGAAATCCAGTATTTTAACTGCCTGAGAGCTATAGCCTTAATATATATCACAATGTATTGCCGATTGGATAATTACGTGGAATAGCCATAATCTCCCAATAGCGAATGATTGCCCAGCAGACACCATCTTTGTTGAACTTTTTAGATTTTTGCGTTATAAAGATTCTAACTATGCCAGTGAGCCGATGACATTGAAAAGCCTTCCTTATTAAAAAGCAAAACTATTTACAAGCAGTATTTCAGAGTATCTGCCATTATTCCCTCAATACCATGATCATCCCATTTTAAATGTAAAAACAAAACAAAAAACTCTTCATTTTAGGGATTGCGAGTAAGCCCCATTTATATAGACAGACATCATCAAGTTAGTGTTTTCAGAAATTACCTTTGTGCAATCCTTAACCTTTTGCTAATAGAGTGTCATTACAGTAGATTGGAATCATCTTGGCAGAAGTTAGACAACCAGAGTTGAATTTAGTAGGCCGGTTTTCAAAGCCTGAGTGGTTGTAAAGCAGAAGCAGTTGTTTCCACTGACAAAGTGGCCTTGCTTGTGGATCCAGGTTCCCTGCTTGGGTGGCAGCTCAAGTGCAGTTCCTGGCACAGGGCCGGTAGATGGCAGCAGCTTTTCGTCGCATTTGAAACCACTTGGAAACCCCTCCCCCACCCAGACACAGACTTGCCCAGAACGTAAAGCTTGTAGGCGATTCCTGCCTCGTTTTCCGGTTGATCCAGGAGAGGGAGTCCTTTGCCAACTGATGACCAACACTTCCACGCCAGATAGTCTCTCTGTGAGCAGCGACAATACAGAAATTAAGGTGCTACTTCTGTCCAGAGCCACTCTAGCCTTTGTTCTTCTCTAACCTGAATATAGGTAGGGGCTATAAGAAGAAAAGGAAAGGTTTAAAATGACAGTGGTAGGAAAAAGAATCATTACTTCGGATTCATGACTACTTTCTATTCATTCGATGAAATCATTTGTGTACTACCAGGGAGAAAGTTTTCTTTACACCCTTGACAATAGATCACATACTCTTCAAGATCATAATAATATCATTAATGTGAATTTAAACAACATGGCTTGTTAGAAAATATGCTAATTGCTATGTTCTCATTAAGTTTGCTTAGCTTTTATTTGTTTTTCTATGAACAGTTAGAGAGCTCATTTTTTTCAAAGGTGATTGTAAGTCATATTTTATATAGCATTTTGCTTGATTATTTGCTCTGTACTGAATTTGTACTCTATTGCCATTAGATCTTACAATAATGTTCCACTCTGCAAATTTTTAAGGTTCAAATAAAGTTTAATTGTTTGCAAACTGTTATGATGCTAATAATTCAACAGCCTGCTGTGTTACTAATGAAATTACTTTGTTATGATTAATTTGGAAAATAGTGTGTTGATTGTAGTAATTAAGCACAACAAGGTGAAGTAAATGATTCTAATGCCATCTGGCCTCCAAACTGAATGAAGAAATGAAAGAGGGCTGTCATCTGAATTTATTCAAAGAAGTAAGGATAATACAAATGGCTTTCATTGCTCTAGGATCTACACTTACCCTCAGCTCACTCCGTTCTCTTTTAGCCACTTTGTTGTGTATGACACTTTCTTTTATGAAAAAGAATGTTGTTTAGTCCAGCAATTGTTTTGAATATTTCACTTTAAGCTGATTATTTTCACTGCGTACCAATTTAATTACAGATAATTACATAAAGTATTACAAGATCACAGAAAAATCACTTTTCAACCATCTGCAGGTAAAATCTATATATGGAGGGCTTTTTTGTTTGTTTTGTGGTCAGTGCCCCAACACTTCTTTTTTTGAGAGGTTTTTGCTATAGGATACGTGTACTTGCCGGAAAGACAGAGAGACAGAGAGACAGAAAGCAAGAAATTACCCCAAGATATTTCTTGGGCACGTACGCACACGTGCCCAGAGTGAGTTTAAGCCACCGGGTCCGGGACTTGAACTGCGGTCAACTACATGGGAGTGCAGTGACATAGCCATTATGCCAACTGCTGGTCCCCCCAACACTTTGATTATACCATTCACCAAGAGTAGAGCTTCCTTTCAGTTGTTTCTAAAATGTTTGCACCAAGGCTCTCTGATGGTTCTTGGGGTTTTGACTTTTCCATAATTTCTCTACTCTTTTCCACTGTTACTCACTTCTTAGAATCTGGTACAATCCAGGGTCATGATTAAAAAACAGAACTGAGTTACATAATAACATTCACATTTGTAGTTCAGCCACCAGAAGAAAACTGACCCTAATGTACATATAAAAAAGCTTGAACTTCATCAGTGAGAATATTGGTGTTACAAGATCACAGAAAAATCACTTTTCAACCATCTGCAGGTAAAATCTATATATGGAGGGCTTTTTTGTTTGTTTTGTGGTCAGTGCCCCAACACTTCTTTTTTTGAGAGGTTTTTGCTATAGGATACGTGTACTTGCCGGAAAGACAGAGAGACAGAGAGACAGAAAGCAAGAAATTACCCCAAGATATTTCTTGGGCACGTACGCACACGTGCCCAGAGTGAGTTTAAGCCACCGGGTCCGGGACTTGAACTGCGGTCAACTACATGGGAGTGCAGTGACATAGCCATTATGCCAACTGCTGGTCCCCCCAACACTTTGATTATACCATTCACAAAGAGTAGAGCTTCCTTTCAGTTGTTTCTAAAATGTTTGCACCAAGGCTCTCTGATGGTTCTTGGGGTTTTGACTTTTCCATAATTTCTCTACTCTTTTCCACTGTTACTCACTTCTTAGAATCTGGTACAATCCAGGGTCATGATTAAAAAACAGAACTGAGTTACATAATAACATTCACATTTGTAGTTCAGCCACCAGAAGAAAACTGACCCTAATGTACATATAAAAAAGCTTGAACTTCATCAGTGAGAATATTGGTGCATTGTAAGAATTTTTAAATCAAGTAATGCTCTTCTAAATTTCAGATAAATGAGTTCTTTGTATTTCCATTGTCGAATGGCATTATAGACACAAACATACCATCACTATTAGTCCCTTGAGTTCCCAGAATGTTGGAAAGCAACCCACATGGTAGAGGAGATGACGGGGATGAAAACATGGTCAAGCCTTAGAGAACACAGCTTGACTGAGTTGTTGAAGGAATATAATGTTTGCATGCATATGTGTCTGTACCATAAAACTGTTTGTGAAATATTTCCTATTTTGTCAGTAAAAATCTTGAGTATTCAGAAATACAGGGAAAGTAGTAAGTAGTGTATTGTGAAAGTATCTTTCTACAGATGTAACCTGTACTCAGATGCACAGCAGCTTATCCTCTGCATTGGGAACAAGAGATTTCTAGATAACCTCAGCTTTAGCCAAAGTATCTCCCACCCACTGCCTTACACTGAGTTCTTCCAGATCATCTGTTGGAATCCTTAGCAGGGGAACATTTTGCTATGATGAGAGTAGTACTTGTAAAATTTTACAATCACAGGAACATGAAATGACATTTCATGACTGGTGTTTGAGGAACTTTTTTTTTGTTTTTACAAGTTGAATCTGCTCTGTTGTTATGTAGACTCAAATATATGATTTATTGTTAGCATGCTATAAAGTATATGGTGTATATCCAGTAAATATTTGATCATTAACTGATTTGGCACCCGACATCCTCTCAGAGCTGAGATTTGAGAAGGAACTTGACTTCTTATACTTCACAGAGAAAACGCTTTTTACAGTTAGCACATCTGCTTTCTGACCGAAAATGTTCTCTTGGTCAAAAAATCAGTGTCTTTTAACTGAGTCTTTAAGAGCAGGGCATACCGTTAACAAGTGGATTGGATTTGACCATTAGAAACAGAATTAAGCGAGATTGTGAATAACAAGGAAGTTGAGTTTTGGCAGGTAGTCTTTAACTGTTTCTTCCCTTTCTTTCCTCCTGTTCAGTGTTGTGACTTTCATATTTGGGGCCCAGGCAGCTTGGGGCAAGCAGTTTAGTTTCATTTGCCAGTGCATCTCAGCTCTTTGCTGCTCTGCATTTCACTTGGGTAGTTTGGGAGAAGCCTCCTCCTGCCTTCTGATCTGGGAAGCAGTCTAGCTGTCAGCTAGGGTGGATCAAAAAGGAATTTTCTGCAGGTGGGAAGTTTCGCAGTTCTTGCTAAATCCAACCGTAACTCAATTTTTATCCTTTTCTTTTTTTAACCTTTACTCCCTATTTCTTTGAGCTCTATGATTATGTTAACTTGAGTGCTTTGAGTCCCCAAGATGAAAGGAATCATAAATGCCTTAAAGTAGCCTTAGTCTTGCCACTACCCGGCCTAGGTCTGTTGTGCTGGGAAAAGGGCCGGAAGCTGAGCAGGTCAAAACACTTGTGAATATGTGCAGGGGTGTGAACATAGACATGGCTCTTGGGTGCCTTTCTTAATGGTAGAACTTTGGAAGGTGTTTCCCTAGGTTTCTCTCTTCTCGGTCTTGATGGTTTTCTTTTTTTATTACCCATTACTCAGAGAGGTAATATAGCATAGCACTTGTCTGTTTCTGTTTATTGGTCTCAACTTTGTAATATAAAAATATCATTCCTACTAGAATAAAAGCAGGTGCCATTTTGTAGCTTGAATGGCAATTTGCCTCTTGTTTGAGGAAAGTGTCACACAGGTACTCTCAAAGGAGAAAATGAATAACACCAACATATGCCAATTAAAAACGACCATGATACCGGAGGAGAAAATTCTAACAAGCACATTCCCACGCACTACCTCGTTTTTCCAGCACCCATGGGAGTCCATTTGGAAAACCTCCTGTTCTTTAACTGTCATGTCAGATGTCATGATAACAGTTGAACGAAGACTGGTAATAATAGCAGCTAACATTTCCTGAGTGTTTACTATTTGCCATTCTGTGCTCTTTTCATTCAGTCCTTATAAGAACCACCCGAGGCAAGTTCTGTTACTTATTTGTTTTTCCTTGGTTGTGAAACCGAAGGTAGGTAATTTGCTTTGAAGTCTTAGGGCAGTAGTTTACCTGGGCAGGCCTCCGACCTAGGCTGCTTCTCCAAAACTCAGCACCATTCTGCCTTTCAGCACCATTCTGCCTTGCAGTACCCCAGTACCGCATGAGTGTAATTCTGTTGTTTGCCTGCAGTAGGCACTCAACTAATGCTTGCTGACCTCTCGTGATGACATCCTTCCTGCGGAATAGTCGGGAGTCTGACTAGTCCTAGAATGTGTGACTGGAGACCAAGTTCTCTCATTTAGTAGTTTAAGTGTACATGGTGACCATACCAACTTCATAGCAGCTACTCCACGGTGGAGAATGAACCAAGAACATGCCTGGCCGTCAACTCCCCATGCAGCTGAATTAGGAAGTCCGTCCAGGAGCTGGGTTGAGAGGGAATGGCAGGCCAAAGGGATCCTTTTTCAAGACTTTCATCCATCTTTTTCACCTCTTCAAAAGTCAAACCCACGTAAGCTGACCAGCCACCAAAGCCTTGCAGAGGATTTTTCAGTCTGGCTGCTTCTGTCTCAAGTATAGATGGTCCCTGACTTACGATGGTTACCATTTTTCAACTTTACCATGGTGTGAAAGTGTGCACATTCGGTGGAAGCAGCATTTTGAGTCCCCGTCCAACTAGCTTGTTTTTCACTTCCATTACAGTATTCCATAAATTACATGAAATATTCGACACTTATTATAAAATTAGACATTGTGTTAGATGATTTCGCCCAACTGTAGGCTCATAGAAGTGGTCTCAGCATGTTTAGGCTAGGTTGAACTATGGTTTTCAGTAGTTTAGATGTGTTAAATGCATTTCTAGCTTACAGTATTTTCCACTTATGATTTTGTTTTTTGAAGCGTAACTCCATCATCAATTGAGGAGCTTCTATAGTTGTTTTTTGAGTGATGGGTTTTAATCGAGAGCATCTTTATAAAGCCAGTTTAAGGGATTTAGCCCTTTATAATCAGTGAACAAACCTTATGAAATGTGTATCATTTTGTAACTGAACAATGGCATTACCTGTCATATAACTGTCATATAACTTATTTGTTGAGGTATGCATTTGTTTAAGAATTTTTATTAAAATATCTGATAGGTAAGTATGTGGTCTTATTTCTCAGGCGTCCACACAGTGCCTTGTGTAGGGCTGCATAAATAAAGTCTTTTGTTGTATTTTTTTGAACAAATTCTTTTAAAGTTATTTTTGCACTTCACTGATTGAAGGCTACTGGAGGTGTGTGTGACAAGATTAAGAGATAAAAAAAGACTAACAGTCACCAGAGAGTTGTGGAATTTAGCTAGAGAAAGGGGGTAAAGTCCTTTCATGCTATTAAATGTGCTCTC